CTCATCTGAACACAAATGTTGCAAGACAGAACCAATCCATCACAGGAGATAGATCCTAGAGCGTTCACTCACTTCTTACAGTGCATTCAAACAGGGCTGCGTTTCCCAAAAGTATCATAAGAAAGCATTGAAGCTTTTGGGCTGGCAGCCCTGAACAATGCTTATCAGAGGACAGAAGGACAGAGTTATTTCACAATAAACAAACTGAAATTGTAGCCTACATAGTTTGTGCAATTACAGTTATTTAAATTGAACGTTGAAAGATAATATTGATCATGTTCTATTCTGTAATGTTAATAGAAATCATACACTGTCAGAATAAAAAGGTTGCATTTTATGCATGCAACAGCCGGTCACTGGCAGTCCCTTATGAAAATGAACCATGGTTTTACTAAAGTGACCATAGTTCAACTGTAGTATTTGTAGATTTGAATCACGTGTAAACAAAAAAACATGTTTGAACCATGTGTAAACAAAAATATAACCTAATAAGTTACAATCAAGGCGTATTGAATGTTAAAATGCGTCTTAAACAAAGTTAAGTGCTTATCATTACCCATATGACTCTTAGTAATTTAATAATTTCATAATGTAAAAGTTCAGCTCAGGAGTTCGCGCGCGTACACAGGAAGCAGCACGTCACCAACATTTCCACAACACGGCCGCCAGAAACGTCACTCACTTCCTGAAAGATGCAAATATCACGAGACCTTGTCTTTCGGACGTTAGTTCACGGTTTACCTGGCTGACATTATAGTCTGTCTTTGCGCTTGAGAACAGAGAGGTAGGTGTTATTGTGTAATTGTGATATAATTATAATGAGATCGTAAATACTCGTTGTTATTCAAGCGTTGCGTGACTTGTGCGCAAAGAGAGAACTGGGTTTGGTCAGATGCACGGCACATTAGCCACTGTTTAGCTGTACAAGTTCTCCGAGATTAAGTTTAATTAACACATTTAGTCATTGTATTATTATTATTATATTCATTGTTATGGTTCAGACGCAGTCCTGCGCACAACCTCGCATTTCATTAGATCTGTCATCATTTACTCGCCCACGTCTTTCCAACCCGTTCTTTCTTGTGTGGAACACAAACGATATGTTTTGGTGACCTTTGTCTTTCGTTTTATGGATAATGGGCAAAGCAGTGAGACATTCCTCAGAATATTTTCCTTACATGTTCCAAAGAAGAAAATGATGCCGGTCTGGAACAACATCAGGTTACGTAAACGATGACAGACGCTTGTTTTCTCTTTGAGCAGGTCCTGTCAGAATGTCTCCGATGGAGCTGCTCGTCGCAAATGTAGCTGAGCTCCTCACAGCTGCTGTACAGGAAGTGTTGCAGCTCATGGGTCGGGCTGTGTTAGAGTATCAGAAAGAGTCTGCCAGAACACGCCTGGAGAATCAGAACCTCCAGCAGAAGCTCACACAGCTCCAGGAGACGATGGCTGGGGATTCACGTGAGATTATGACCGGCTTATAGTTGTGGAATTAACTTGTCTGCTTACTTGCATGTACAAACTTTCAATCATCTTCTTTTATACTTTTAGATGAAGTCCTGAACGTCTCTTTGCCCATTGAGAAGCCCCGTTTAGAGGAGGATCATGCACTGGAAGATCTCATTTATCTTGGAGATTCAGCTGTGAGCAAGCAGACAGAGCAGCCACAATGTCCGAGTGACAATCCTGTTCACACGAAGCTGGTTTTAGATGAGAGGACTTTAGACAACAGACATCATACTCTGCAAGGGACCTGTGACTATTCTTTGAAGAAGCAGAGACCCCTCTCCAGGGTAAAGAGTAGCCCTCCAAGAAGGATCCCAAACGCTGGCAGCAGAGAGAGTCCAGCGACCAGCGACACTGAGACACCACTGGGCTCAAACAGAATCAAAGAGGAATCTAAACCAGAGCCTCTGGAACTTTCTGTTAGGGAAGAGACGGACAATGTGACAACACAAGCTCCTGTAGTTCTCCTGCACGACTTTCCTCCATCAAACGAACACAACCAGCTACCTGTCTCGTCCTTTTCCAACAACGTTGTCCAATGTAACCAACTAGACAAATTACTAAATTCTGCTTCCATACACATTCTTAGGTCACGGGTGGAGAATATGGTCCAAACGGGGGGCATTCACGGCACTCCCAGCGTCAGTGAGAGCAGGGAGATTCTGCACAGCTGCCACGTGTGCGGCAAGACCTTCGCAACGCCCTCCAGCCTCGGAGCGCACTTCGTGTGCCATTCAAACGAGAGACCTTTCGTTTGCAAGTGCTGCAAGTTCAGGTTCAGTCGTTTAGCCGATCTGAAAAAGCACGAGCGCATTCATACAGGAGAAAGGCCATATAACTGTTCGCTCTGTGGACGGAGATTCAACCGAACAGAGAATCTCAGAAGACACTTGAGGAAGGTTCATTATGGAGCAGTACTGTGAGCTTTAAATTCACAGCATTTATTTGAGCATGTTGACTTTGGATCATTCAACTAAATCAGTGCTTATTCATATCTCAAAAGTTACTATAGTTGCTCAGTCCATTAGGCCTGTTTCCCCCCACTTTTAATATAGTATGTTGGCGACTGTTTCCATCAAATTGAATTAAAATAATTATTAATCAATATCAGTGATGTAGCTGAAATATGATGAATGTGTATTATCATACTTTTTTTTT